TGTGGACGCTGAGCATGATCTTTTGATTTCATGCTGTAGTCGACCATTAAACTCCTATGAAAACTCTACAAAACATTGCAAGGAAGGATTTATTTCAGATTTTACACGAGGTCTTCCAAACCATAAATAACCACCGGGCTTGTGTAAAAACGAATATTTTCTAGCTACAAATGGCGAGTTGAATGACTTTAACCAAAGCCTGCACAACAATCTTTATTTACAATCACTGCCACACCAAAGCCCTAATCTTTTTCAATAAAAATACATGAATCTACAGTGAGTAACCAAACTCATTTACTCAGGAGGCTAAATGAATATGAAGGCCATCTTTTTTTTTTTAAGAATAAAAGCTCCCCTCTCCAAAGCAACCTGCAGGTATTTGCTTGTCTCCCCATGAGGGCTCGTGTTCCCCTGAAATAATAAACACAGACCCCAGAGGCGACCACAGACAGCACGAGTGGATCTCTGAGGTGGTATACGTTTACAGGGTGAGTCCTGGACCAGAGACGATTGGGTAGGTTTTACTGCTGCGTAGAGGGTGTGGGGCTTAAATGACTCACAGAGTGCTATTGCAGGAGGGTGAGAGGTTTAGAACAATTTCCTTTTTGTGATCTTCCTTGGTAATGGGGACCAGGAGCAAGGTATGTTTTGAGGTGTGGAAAGGATAAGTTAAGTGGCCAAAGGGCAAGTCTAGGTTTGCTGTCATGGAGTGGAGTTGTTGGACATTACAGGGTGAGTCATGAAACTTGGAGAGGTACCTAGAGCTTGATCCAGTTATTCATTGGATACCAAGTCTGGTGCTCAAAGAATACAGTCCAGTTTGTCTGAAAATGAGCTCGTTCATCAAAAATAGCTGAAACTTTCCACTTGGGTACAAGCGTCAGCTGCAGCACCTTTACATGTCATTAAAAGGCCTGTAGCACCGAAGAACAAACTGGCAAACCCACATCAATATTGCTGTGTAACAACAATGCAAGTGCCAAGCCTATTAGCAACTAACAGGAGCAGATTTAAGGGAAAACTGACTGACCACAAAATGAGGGATCTCAGGGCCTGGCTAAAGGCCTGCTGACAGAAACTTGGTCTCAAAGGAGAGCCCCACCTGAGGCAGGTGGAAATTGAATATTGTATTATATTTCCTGTGGCTTTTTGTGGAGTGGGAACTTGGCAGTGGAACAGTGAGTGTGGTGGAATTTATAGAAAGCACAGTTGAGTAAGTCCCTTTAATTGAAAAGAGGCGAACTGTCTGCATTGTTTTCGCTATGCTAGCTATACACGCCAGCTCTCACATATTATGTCCGCTCCGATGCTGTACTGATGAAACGTCTGCAAAATAAAGTGAACCTGTGAGTCCACCAGGCCCTGCTGAAAGATTATATTAGAAAATATTTGTCTCATCTCTCTGACATAATCGGATTATGTGTGGGATGTGAGCGGGCGTCCAAACCACCCGATGAGGACAGGTGAGGAGAGACAGAAAGGACCTGAGTCTGGTTTGAAGTTTTTGTGCAGCTTTCTTGTCTCTTTTTCCATCTATGACACCTCCTCCTCTGGTCCCTCTTTCTCTCTCTAGACAGACTGACCAGTAACCGATGCTCCATAATTACCCAGGTGAGGCCTGAGTGTTTCCATATGAGAGACCTGAGCTGCGGAGCCTGTCAGATTAACATGATGTGTGTGTTTTCTCTCTGCTGTTTAGCCTTTCCCAAAAGTATCCCCTTCACAGCCTTGTGGAATAAAAGGTGGACTCCACAGAGATTTGTTGGTGGGGTTTTAGAGGAAAGGGACAATTACGGTTTTATTAATGGTGTGCCACTGACGTTAGCCATGTTCACCTGAATGTTGCGTCTCGAGCGCCGGACTCTGCTGTAAGGCGAGATGATTGTTCTGTACTTCTGTGTGATTCAAAGTCTGCGTGTCTGTCAATTTGGCTCAGTGGATGACAGGCTGGCTCACGTCTCGGTACCAAATAGAAAGCAGAGGAAGCATATAGTTCTGCTTGTCTGGAGCGGGGCAGTTTCCACTTATGCCTCCACATTAACAATAAGAGACGCTAAAAGCAGCTCAGTTTCCCTCCACTGAAAAAAGGGAGAAAACGAAAATAGGTAGAACGGGCTCATTCTGGCAAAGAAATAATGTGGGTCTTTGATGTTCTACTGACGTATTTGATCAGTTCATGGCTGCACTAACTGTATTGTATTGGGTGTATTTATTCTGCTACAGTAGCAATAGTGAATTGGGTCACATTAGCTTACAATCTTGACTTACTGTACTGCTGTCGTGGGCCCCAAAGCAATACCCACTCAGTGTCTAGCTGGCACATGAACAAAGTGGTATTCTAATTTCATAATGGCATTTAGGGAGTTGATTTTACCACTCAACCCTTCTTTCAGACTCACACACAAAATTAGCGCTTGTCAGCTTTTGACAATCAAGATCAATTGGGATGGAGAGAGGGAAAACTACGTCCAAGATCTGCCCAGTGGCATCTCTTTTTGCCATTGGTATGGTCATCTTGTTCTTTTATATTAATCCATCAATCAACACTTGTCTGGTAAGAAGCTAAGAAAAGCAACCAAGACACTCCCTCTCCCAAGCTGCTTTCACCATCTCCACCTGGGCGATCCCAAGGGACTCCTAGGTCAGATGAGATTTCTAATCCCTCATCTTGGGTCTGCCCTAAGGTCTCCTTACTGGAATACCTTTACAGGGTGGCATCCATTGACAATACCATTGATATGCCTGAATAACATCAATTGGTTCCTCTCAGTGCAAAGGAGTAGCAGTGTCAGCTCCTCACCGTGTCCCAGGATGTGAGCCTTTACATACCGCAAAGAAAACTCATTCATTTTGATTGCTTGCATTTGCAGTCAAATGCTTTCAGTCACTAAACAAAGCTCAAAGACTGATGAGTAAATCCAGAGTTTCCCCTTCATGCTTGGCATGCGTGGTCCTCGTGGTCAATCTGATGGAGAACGTTGCAGAGGCAGACTATCTGCTTAGCTGACAATTCAAGGGGAGGTTCTTCTAGCAGTTAGTGCAAATCTTTCTCTACTCCAGGTAAATAGGCCACAAGGTTGTGGCTCTTTAGTCTGAACAGCACTTACACTCTCTCCCCTTTAAGTTCCTCTTGAAAGATTATCAAGGTATAATCAGGGGTGGTAAGAGGGCTACAGTAGATGAAATCTGGGAGCTCCACCCTTGAGCCTGGCTAAATATCAGAGAAATATAATGCCACCTTCATTAGCATCATTCAATCTGCCCCACACTATGCAGTGTTTTCTTTGGGGCCAGCGAGAATGAGAGTCTGAACATGCGCAGGCCCTGCCCATCATTATCCATGTTCGAGATGCCTTATTCTTTGGCCATCCATAACAATCCAGGCATCAAATGAAACCCTTCTGGTTTCCTCAAGTCCCGACATCAGGGTTTTACTTCAGCGTCTGAGGTATGCCATAATTCAGGCACTTTTACATGCTTACATTGGTGCGTTACAACCCTGGACCCTGAACAAACATGCTTACAAAGAAAAGATTTTCGTTAAAAGGGAGGGGATGAAAATTATGTCGATTTTTCTATCCCAGTGGTCTCTGTGACATAATTATTCTTTGGCCAGAGAGAAACAGAGACCACCAAAGGGGGGAATACTTCATGCCAGCACAGGAAAACTGTCTCAGGCTTTCTTTCAGAATAGAGACCATATACAAAGGACACTGTAAAATATAGCTGTAACAATTTTAAAGCAGTTGTTTCATATCTTTACTGGTTGAATAGTGACTGAAAAACAAGCACAAACCCTCTTGTTCCCTTTCCAAAAGCAGGAGACTGAGAGGGAGATTGGCTGCAGGTTGCAGAGACTCCCAAGCGAAGATGAGGTTAGGGCAGACAGACAGAATGTGCTACATTCATTACCCTTGTCTGTCTGCTTGCATATAAAGATATCAAGTGCGCTCATCTTCTCCCCAAACTCCGCAGCTATCTAGTTTTAACAGGCAGTAACTGAACCACAGGCCCATTCATGCTGGCAGAGGGGGTGTCAGAGGATCTGGGTGGGTAGGCTGTTGGAATGACAATAAACTTAGTATTGTATGAATGAGAAGGGAGGAAAGGAGTTTGAATATTGCAGCGTTGAACAAAGGTGCAAGTGTGCGTTTTTTATTTGAACTGCAGAGGTCGGCTCAGAGGTGGGGGTCAGGGGGAGAGAGGGTTCGGATTCGGTCCTGTCCCACGAGAGGAAGGATGTGTCTGCGAAGAGTACGGCAGACACCATTCAACCCAATCCAGATCCAAGGAGAGGAGAGGATTTAAATATACGTGATTATACTGTATATTACAGTATACTGTAATATAACTACATGTTGGTTAAAAAAACACATAGTTTGCAAAAAATGACTAAATAAATAAATAATAAATAAACATTTTCTGCACTGCTATAAATAAAAGTTAATAATATGTATTTACAAAGAACTCGAGCTGGGTGTCGAACTTTGATACTTTTGTGGACCAAACAAATTGGCTTGATACTGTTGAGGACTGTAAATGCCTTTGTCATTTGAAACCAAATTTCAATCCCTCAGGAGTAAATGAGTAAATCTCATTAGAGTCAGTAAGCCAACAAGCATGCAGAATGCTTGGACCAAGATCTAATGATGCGGTGATTGGCTGTTTATTTACACAAACACATCTGAGTGTGTAAAGAGTAAAGTAAAATTAAATTTGTACCATAATCAGTATTGTAATTTTCTTTTTGTTAAAATGGATTTGATGAAATTGGTATCGAGAAAAATATTGTAAAGAATCGGTATCAAACTTATGGTATCATCCGTATCAAGATAATCAAACATTTTTGAACTATACCAGCCCCACAAAGAGCTGAAGTGCCTCAACCCTGGTGGCTATGAATTTGTTCTTTGGCAACTGCAGCGTCCTACAACATGGGTATTAATTAAACAAACCATCAAACAAAACTTAAGTTCTGTATTATTTTTTTTTAGTTTTACCTTGACCAGCGAGTGGAGGCTCCTCTCCCCAAACATGTCCTGGAGGAAGGTGTTGTCCTCTGGACGGCTGACATGGGGCTGCAGCTGAGAGGGCAAAGCCGCCAGCAGTTCATACAGACCTGGAGATGGGGGGAAGAGGAAGCAGAGGGTCAGCATAGCAGTGGGAGGTATAAATGCATGCATGCAAAGTCACTCACTCACACACACACACACAAAAACACATGTATAGAAATAGATGTGCTTACAGCTGTAGTTTACAGATATATAAAAGAACAGAAGGGCAGTACGTGGGTAGGAATATGTATACTGTAACCTCAAACACATGCAAGAGATAGACACATAAAGCAATGTGTAAATATACAGATAAATGCCAATACTGGGGCTTTTAGTTTCACACACATTCGATTCTCTCTCACTTGTATTTGTTGATCCTCTGTTTCTTTATCTTGTCCTCAGATGCACTCTAAAGTAAACACACCTGAAAGTGCTACGAGCAACTTTCAGCACAAATAAAAAAATTTAAATCTAATTTTGCTTGTCACTGGAAGCTAAAAGGAAACATAGAGGCAATAAAGCATTTCCCCCAGTCTCCACTTCCCAGTATTGTCCCAGCCTTTCCTGTTGTTTGAGGAACACTGCTGTTTTCAGTCAGAAACAACTCTAACAACTCCATGTCAGGCCACTACAAATTCCACTTTTTGATTAGTTGAAAAGTTCAATATGAACCTTCTTTTCTTATATAACTAAACAGATGGCACACATGCCTCAGGAGGCTTTCCACCCATACATCTTTCCTGCCTGTAAACAATCAATTCTTTGCAGTGAAGTGCACGTGTGTTTGCTAAACAGAGGTTTTGGAAGGAGTAAATTGTCTATGTGGCTGCTGTGCTGGATATGTCAGGATTTCTTTTATTAATAAACCCTAACATGGAATTGAACTATTCTGAAATAACCTTATGCATTTAAAAGAACTGAATTTGAGGTTAAGTGAAGTGAACAGGCTTGGCTTTACACAAACTGATGTCATGAGCTCGCAAGGACAGCAGACTGTTATCCAGGCCTATGTGGCCTATATACAGGTCATCACCATAGCATGAGCACAGTTTGTTAGTGACAGTGAGAGAAACAGGGCGTATGGATCAGCAGGCCCATAGCTAAATCTGAATCCCCTCAGAACAACACATGCTGAAATCTGCAAGGCCTTTCGGGGGTTTACTAACCCAGCTTATAAAAGGAAAGAATATTTCAAATTCAATTTAAAGAGAAACAGACTGGGGAGCTGATGGTTTCAAGATTAGGCAGAGGGGAGGTGAAACACTCAGAGGGAGAGAGCACAAAACCAGCGAGTGAGCAGGGTTGCTTCCAAACACAACAGAGTCCTGGAGCACAACTGATGGAGAGTAGTAGCAGATACTTGTTTGCTGTTCTGTTCTGGTCTTCAGTATGGCCCAGATCCACTGAACCAGGATATATTTTAAAGGTCAGGGCCCATAGCAGAGTGTGGTGTAGCTGGGTTATTCGCTTCAAAGACCTCTTTACTAATGCACCAGAAAAGCCCCCCCAGATTCAAACTCCTCAAACACAACCACACAGTGCTCGAAGCCCTTTGAACTAATACTGATCATGTGAAGAAACTCTAAACACATTCACGGCGGAGCCATCGAAACGTCAAAACAAACTCGAGCGGCTTGGCTACCTCTCTGAGAGCGTCTTTCATCAGAGGACAGAGCGAAAGAGAGGAAGGAGAGAGAGAAAAAAAAAAAACACCACAGGCACAACTGAAGTAATTCATAGCTGAGAATGATTGATTGAAAACAATGGTTGACGTCGTTGGCTGAATGAATGATTGACTGACTGAACTGTGGCGGGCCGGCTGACTAGGTTATAGAGCGAGTGTGTGCTGGCAGCTCAGGATGTTTGGCAGGAGAGGCATGGCTTACTAACTTAGCTCATGTCATGCGCTGCTGCTGCTCCTGCTGCTCCTGCTGCTGCTGGGCAGTCAGATAGATGGAGTGTCATCTGCCACTCTCAACCCTCTGCTTTCCATTTGCAGGTGATTTGGGGTTTGACTCTACGAGCAGACACACAGGATATATCAAGATAACCTGCCCTGTTCTTCAGCTCACAACACGGATTCTGTGTAGTGTTAGCGCCTCACACCTCACTGCTGCTGAAGCTCTGTGGTAAAGGAAGAAGTATAACAAAGGAGAGACAGATTTTACATACAACACATGTGCACCAGTCTTCTGACAGCAAACCCCATGGTTTTACTCAAGCTTGGTGTGTGATATTGTCCCTGGTATATAATCATCTGATGCCTGGTTCTGTGGTCCTCATCACCAGTAACTTTCTAGCTAACACAAGCCTGTCTGAGGGCAGCTGGCCCCCTCCATCATTTACAACTTGGAACTCCCAACAGAACATCTCACATAATATATTAAAAAAAAGATTTAAAGAGACAGAAGAGAGGATGAGGTGAGGGGTGTAGGAAGGGCGGTGAGAGTTGGGGGGGGGGGGTATGGAAATGTCATTACTATTGGCAGTGCTGAGATACAGGTAGGAGGGGAGTAGAGTCCCAAAGCATTATTCTCCCCAGGTGCAAAGTCTCCCCTCCTGTCTGCACTCTCAATGATTCAATGCTTTATTCCTTCTGACAACAATTCCTCCCTGTCCATGCGGGGACGAACTAAACAGGCTGTGCGGTGTGAGCCAATGGCACATTATGGGAAACGCATCACCTCCATTAGCTGATCAGAAATAATAACATGATGGGGGAAAAATGATGAAAGACAAGCTGCCACTGTGCTCTGCTCTGGGGTCAGTGTGTCAGGCTGAACCCGGTGACCCACAAAAAAACCCAGTTTCAAACAACAACAGAGAGAGCTGTAGAGGAGCCAGGAGCTAAACAAGGACTCTGCAAAGCTGGAATTAAATACAATATTGTATGGGTGGACGAGCGAGGAGGAGAAATGGAGGCAGAAAGAGAGAGAGAGAGAGGAAATGAGCCAAAAAACAACCACAGTGGTGGTAAAATCACTGTGTAGACACTATAAAAAGTGGAGAGAGAAATAAATCTAAGGCCAGATGTATGGGCACATATAGATCTGTAACATCAGAAACCGTGTCCAGCACAGACAGTAAGAGACAAAATGAGAGAGGGGGGAAGAAGAAGAAGAAGAAAGGAAACAAGATCGCGCCAACTCCTCACCACTAAAGGGTGGACCGACTTGTTTCTTGCAGTCTGGTTTGGATTCATTTGATTTGTTTTGGCCAGACTATTCTGGACCCTCTCGTGCGGCGGCTGTGTGTAGCGGACCTGGCATTGTCTTGTAGTGGACTACTACGTTCTGTTGTGGCTAGTGCTGGACCAGCCTGGCTCCGAGGTCCTGAAGACCAGCACGATGTTGCGCAGGATGGCCGAAAGAGCCTTCAGAGAAACCGGAGAGGCCAGTGCCTGCGAAGCTTCCCGTACAGAGGAAGTGACCACTTTAACTGCCAAACAGCACTTCCCCTCTCACGCCCACACCTCCATCGTGGTTAAAGATAATAACAGTGTTTTTCAAAGGTCCCTTTTATGTAAAACACAAAAAAATCCCATACAATGATATTCATTACAGATAATATGGATCAAATTGCAAGTCACATAGGTCAACAACCTCAGGGGTTTTTCTAGAGCAGTGCAAGATGAGGAAATTACAGGGACTAATCTAACAACACAGAGTTTGGATGCTTGTAAAATATGACCCTCGCCATGACATTGTAACTACAGCACTGTTTACTTACACACCACAGTAGGGGCACATAGACTGCTGGGAAACAAATAGCTCTGTCCATAATTTTATGTGTTGGACTGTACAGCTGAGGGACCTCATTTAACCGAACTACATACAGAAAGACAAACTGTGCGTCCGTCTGGTGAAAATGAACTTGTTTGAATGCAGGAAATGAACACTGGGTTTTCCTCCTGCCCCCCTCCTGCACTTTCTCCCAGGTGCTGAATGAGTTATTGACCTTCCTCATATATCTTTTGGAAACATATAGAGAGCACAATGTTCATGAGGCTCACCAGACTGCTGGGGGAAGAGAATTGTGATATGTGGGAGCTTTCTTAGCAGGTCAGTATGGAAAGACTGTCGTGTGAACGTGATAGAGAGCCATCTGTACATAAAAAATGATGGCAGACAGGGGTGGCATCAAGAGAAGCAGCTGCAGATTGTGCAGCCTAATCCACTTGAGGTTTCATTAATATCCTTATTCTACATTTGAGAGAGGATGAAAGGCCGCCTGAAGCAAAATAGAACAAGTCAAAGACAGAGAGGGAAGGGAAAAAGGGACACATCTTCTGAGATACACATTGACATAAATAACATCTGATTAAAGTACGTGTGCAGACAGAAGAAGAATGATGACACTAAACATAAAGATGAGAAGGAGCATCATGAAAAGACCACGGGTCACGGCTCCCTGCAACAGCAAGAAATAATAATTACAGTGATGATAATTCCTGTACTTATGCAAACACAGTTTCATCTGAAGGGAGAAACTCTAGACAGACAGTGGGTGGGAAGACAGATTTAACCTGATTCAGGTGCCAAACGACAGGAGAAGTGTTTAGGGCCCCTTGTTCACAGCCATCATTGGACAGGACAGAGTATGTCATCAGTCCACTGGCCCCATGCAGCTTCTGTTGTGTCCTGAGGACGACCTGGGCCGGGCCAATTGTAAAACTGTCTTTCCGCTAAAGTAGCAGGAGCATGGAAAAGCAGGGGCAGTGTTGGTTGTCTGGATTAAGTGACCATTTGACTAGTGTGGCATCAACTGCCAGACATAAAACTATATAGTATTACAAGATGTATTGGCTGAGCAGATGCTGTGATCTTTAAACATAATTTGCAATGAGTCCAGCAGCATTCTGCTCGGGACATAACAGTGGGAGACAGAGGAAGAGCGTGGAGAGAGGTAATATACAGTATAAGGCTGGTCCGGGAACGCAATGGCAGGAGTCTGCACTCCATTCAAGCCCACAAGCCTCCTATTACCAGCTCCAAAGACCAAACCACTTCTCCACATTAAAAAGGTCAGGGGACAGAGCCCTCCAACATCATCTTCGATGATATTT